ATCCCGCAGCGCCACCCTGTCCCAGCCCAGGCGGTGGCCCCGGAGGTGCGCCGAGCCGACCGTGCGCTCCTGGAACCGCGGGGCTCCCAGCGGCGCAGAGGTAAAGCCTTCTCCGCCCGCAGCTAATAGATGGCTTCGCAACTGGCCCTTCACACCTGGTGGCCTTGGCACATGCCGTCCCCGGCCCGACTAGGAATATGCCTCCACCTTCAGCAGATCTTCTGCAGGCTGAGGCCCAGCTCAGACCCGTACTCCGTACTCCCGGGAGCCTTCAGACCTTCCACGCGCGGTGGGGAGCTCGTTTACTCTTCGGCCTGTTTCAGTGGACAAAGCAATGGGTCGTTGGAGAGCGCAGATTCTGCATCCAAAGCACTTAGGTTCCAACTCTTGCTCCCCACTCGCCAGCTGTGTGCTTTGGGACAGTTTAGCAGTCTGGGCTCAGTTTCCTCAGTTGGGTTAATAATAGTCCCCCCTCTAGGGTTAACGGATATAAGGGACATTTAGATCGGTGACTGGCCCAAAGTGGGGGAGCGCAGCGTGTACCAGCTTCTATTGTGATTATCTGACCGAAGGCAGCGTTCCCTGGGCCTCCGTCCCTCTCTGCACCCACAGTCCCTATTTTTGTAGTGATTATTATCAGACTGCAGAGGTTGTACCAAGCGAGGCTGGTGAACACAGCTTTGACAGAGAGGCTCCCATAAAGGCCCTCTTGACCCGCAGCCTACTCTCATCCAGCGTGCGCCCCGTCGAGGAATGCGCACACATAGCATCTCTGCGGGCACATCCCTGACACTGGGACATGGCAGTCCTCTTGCACCCTATTTTCCTACAACAGAATCTCCAGCATCTCCTCCTCCTTCAAGAAGCCCTTTGCCTCCCTTCCCTTCCTCACTGTCCCTGCAGCTACTGCGCTGGCTACAGGATGCTGTGCCTCTGACTGTCACCCTAGTTCACTCTCCCTGGCAGACCAGGAACTCCACGAGGGCCGGGGGCCATGTCTTATTCAGCTCAGCGTTCCCAATAACCACCTCCAGGGCCAAGGCTGCGCTGAATGGGGGATGAAGTGCTTGTGCCCTCAGGATGAGCTCTGACCTGGCTCTGCCACCATTGTCCATGTATCACACATCCTGGGCCCACACTTTGGGGCCTGATAGGAGCTCTTTGGCCTTGCCCTAGAGACCAGCCACTGGCTCTTGCACTCACTTTGCTAGCTCTGTCTGCAAACACCCTACACATCCAGCCAGCCCATTGAGTCTTTCTTCTTCCAGTGGAAGATGGGAGCAGATGGCAGGAGGGAACTCACCTTTCTTGCTGCTCCTTATGTTCTGGGTTTCGTGATGCGGGCTGGATGTACATGATCCCATTGGGCTCTGCCTGGTGTCAGCCCTGCAGGGCTGGAACCACCCCTTCAGATGAGGAAACCAAATCAAAGAGGTTCCGTAGCCCACCCAGTAAGTGGTACATTAGAACTGACACCTGGGTCTCCTCCTTGCTTCCTCCTCACTGGCCCACTGAAGGGCCCATCCAAGATCTCAGGGGACCATTTCCTGTGGCAATGGCCATGAACAAGGCCAACAGCCATGGGCGTTGTGGTCAGTCTCCCTCCCACAGTCCCCCGGAGGCTCTGAGACTGGGCTGGCCTGGAGCCAACTCCACAGAACAGAAAGGCCTCCAGGTCTGGCTGCAGCCCTGGCCTTGCATCCTGTTTTCAGACCTTACTCCTTACCCGGTCTCTGGGAGCTGGGAGATTTGAAAACAGCAGCTGACAATCTTTCTCTTTTCTGTGGCCAAAAGGAAGTCATATTTCCACTGGAAAAAACATTTCCGAGTTGAGTTGCAGGAAGTCCAAGTGTTTAAAGGCCTGCAAATGCCTGCAGGAGATTAATAATTCAGTGCAATGGATGATTCACGAGAAAGGCCACTTTCAATTAACCTTAAGAATCAGCCCTGTCTAAGGAAGTGTCATCTCTCATCACTTAAGGAACTGAGAGGCCAGAGCAGGATAAAGGCCATGCTGAGAAACATATGGAAGACTGTGTTTCTCACATTTGTGTCAGTTCCAGCCTGGTCACCCCGGGACCCTCTTTGTGAGGTGGGGAAGGGTTCCCTTCACAAACAACACCTCTTTTCTCCAATTTGATTAGTGTGGCCTCGGCATGAATTCCTACAGCCCCTTCTTTTGAGGAGCTTGGAGGGAGAATCTGTCCTTGTTAGACCAGAAGTTCCCTCCTTCTCTCCCGCTCCACCATGCTGGCTCCAAATATGTTCCAGCTATGGACAAGCACCCAGGGTCCCAGAGTGGAGCCCAGAGTCCATGGCTTGCTCCTGCCTCCCAGGGATGTTCTTTGCTCCCCGCCCAGTTCTCCCTGCTTCATCCCCTGCCTGGCAGTCTTTTCCTTCTCCTGGCAACAGCATCCTGCCTCTTCTTTCTCAGGAACTACTCTCTCCCCTCCCTGTCCACACAGTAGCTGATAGAAGACAATCTCTTCCTTGTTTCCACATTACCAGCCTGCCTCTGTTCCAGAGCTCTGGCCGTGACCTGGGCCACAGGGATAGGTTCAGGGGTGGGTCATGACCCAATCAGGATCAACCCCAGAATTTTTGTGGGATCACCCCCTTTTTGTGTGGGAGTTGTTCAGCTGAAGGAGCTAAGCCTGGGGCAGTTGGGAGCACCTGTGCGGAGGTGTGCATGTGAGACAGGAGCACACAGCCACACAGGAGGCCTGGTGATGCTGTCTGCCCCTTGGTCTTGCTGTGCCGGCAGCCATCTACTCCCGGGCGGTCCAATAAATTATCTTTTTTTTTTTTCCTCAAGCCAGTGTGAGTTGATTTCTGTTACTTGCAACTAAGAATCTTAATTCATTGTCAGCCAAGGCGGAAGGTGAATGGTGGCAGTGGCGGGGGTGGGGGGAGGCGGGCAAGCTCTGTGCTGCTGTTATTCCCATCTTATTCAGGTGGAAAGTGAGGGGCACTGAGGTGATGCAACTAGGAAGTGGCTGTCCAAGATTTTGTTTTCGTTGTTTTTTGGGGGATGGTGGTGGTGGGGTGTAGGTAATTAGGTTTTAAGGGCAAATTTGGAGGAGGGCTGTAGGATATGTGACTTGCCATTGGTTGGTTGACGGTGAGGTTCCAGGAATCTCAATCATCAGCCTTCTGGTTCCGACCAGTCTGGGGTCCACAGGCTTGTGATCAACATGTAGTCACCATCCTCCATCTGGGTTGGGGCCTTAGGTCCTGTAGAAAAACTCAAAGATTTGTATCAAATTGCTCCGCATATCCTGTGCCCACCATCCCTGACCCCCAGGAACCAGGACCCTGCCCCATCACTGCACTACTGTTTCCTGATTGCCTTTCCTTTGTTTCTGCATCCTCTCCCTTCCCTGATTAGTAACTTAGTAACTGTTTGAACCTGCCCTTCAGAACTCAGGGAAGGTTTAGCGGGCTGAAGCCTTTATCCTGCAAATAAGAAACAGGGGACACGGAAAGCCTTTTGTGCCTGGGAGGGCCCCTCCCCAGATTCCTGCTACGTTTCAGATCAAGACTGTTGAGGGCGGTGGACAGAAGAGATCTCTGTTGAATGTTGCTGCATTCCAGGTGTGGCCTCCAGAGGGAGCTTGGGGCTCTCGCACATCTTCTGTCTTATTGCCCCCCAACAGGTCACGTGATCGGGGCAAGGCCATCTTATTGGGCTTTAGGGCTCAAGGCTGAGCTTTGACTATAACGAGCAAATCAATTAAAAGTGCTGAGCCTGTGGGGAAGGTCGTTCTTTGGTTACCTTCTGTGGCAGATTAAATGATGGTCCCAGTCCTCTTTTCCCTGTACTAGTACTGTACTTCCCCACCCTTGCAACACGGGAGGCAAACATACTTCCCTACCACTTGACTTTGAGCTTGGCCTTGTGACTTGCTTGGGTC